CCTAGACCCTTCATCAGAAAAGCTTTTCTGATGAAGGGTCTAGGCCCAAAACGTCAGCCTCTCTGCTCCTATGATGCTGCTTGGCCTGCTGTGTTCATCCAGCCCTGCACCTTGTTGTCTCTGTAACATTTTTAAGGTTTTTGCAAAGATTTGTAGCTGGGTTGTGGGTGAGGTTGTTGACTTGCTCGCAGAGCTGGCTTGTTTTTGTTCAGATGTTTCATCACCATGTTAGGGAACATCATCAATGAAGCCTCCGATGAAGCGGTGTTGTTCTACTCCGCTTAGAATTTATACTGTCTGGTCTGTTATGGTGAGTTGTGTTATTTCTGATTCTGTTCTGTATAGGTTTGTAATATGGGGTCCAAATCTACATGTTTGTTGATAGCATTATGGGTTCAGAACCATGCCTCTAGGAATTCCCGTGTGTGTCTATGTTTGGCTTGGGCTACTATGGTTACGTTGTTCCAGTTAAACTGATGGCCTCCATTGTTTGAGTGTACTGATATTAGGGAAAGTTTGTGTGTTGTTTTGCTGCCGATGTTCATGTATTCTGATGGCTAGTTTCCTTCCTGTCTGTCCGAAGTAATGTTTGTGGCAGTCTAGCCACTGGACAGGTCCTAGAGGACTGGCGAATAGCTAACGTTGTTCCTCGCTCAAGGTGGGAAATAGGGATAATCCAGGAAACTATAGGCCGGTGAGTCTGGCATTTGTGGTTAGGAAGCTATTGGACAGAATTCTAAAGTATAGGATTTACGCAAATTTGGAAAAGCGTGGCCTAATTAGGGACAGCGAGCATGGCTTTGTGCAGAGCAGGTCATGTCTTAATAACCTGATCGAAATTTTCGAGGAGGCGACAAAGGTGATTGATGAGGGTGGAGCAGTGGATGTTGTTTACATGGATCTTAGTAAGGCTTTTGACAAGGTCCCTCATGGTAGACTCATCCAGGATATTATGATGCATGGTATCCATGGTGACTTGGCCATTTGGATTCAGAATTAGCTTGCTCATGGAAGGCAGAGTGTGATGGTGGAAGGTGTTTTTCTGGCTGGAGGTCTGTGACTAGTGGCATTCCACAGGGACCTGTACTAGGACCTCTGCTGTTCATGACATATATAAATGACATGGATGAAAATGTAGATAAGTGGGTTAGTAAGTTTGCAGACGACACAATGATCGGTGGAATTGTGGATAGTGTAGGAGGTCGTCAAAGGATACAGCACAATATAAATCAGTTGCGGATATGAGTGGAGAAATGGTAGATGGGTACGTATGAGGTGCTGCACCTTGGGAGATCAAATGTTAAGGAAAAGTATACAGTTAATGGCAGGGCTCTGAACAACACTGATGTACAGAAGGATTTGGTGGTTCAAGTCCACAGCTCCCTGAAAGTGGCCGTGCAAGTAGATAGGGTGGTAAAGGAGGCATATGGCCTGCTTGCCTTTATTGGTCAGGGAACTGGGTACAAGAGTTGGGATGTCATGCTGCAGCTTTATAAGACTTTGGTTAGGCCACACTTACAGTATTACGTTCAATTCTGGTTGCCACATTACAGCAAGGATATGGAGGCTTAGGAGAGGGTGCACAAGAGATTTACCAGGATGCTGCCTGGATTAGATGGTATGAGCTACAAGGAGAGACGAGAAAAAAAAGTCAGGTTGTTTTATCTTGAGTGGTGCAGGCTGAGGGGAGACTTGATAGAAGTCAATAAAATTATGAGAACTTGATAGGGTTGATGGAGAGAATCTTTTTCCCAGAGTTGAAATGTCTAATACGAAGGTGCATGCATTTAAGGTGAGAGGGGGAAAATTCAAAGGAGACGTCAGGAGCAAGTTATTTTTCTCAGAGAGCAGAAGAAGTTTGGGATGCACTGCCAGAGGTGGTGGTGGAGGCAGGTACAATAAGGGCATATAAGGGACTTTCAGATAAGCACATGGATATACAAGGAATGGAGGGATATTGACCAAGGGCAGGCAGAAGGGATTAGTTTCATTTGGCGTCATGTTCGGCACAGCGTCTTGGGCCGAGGGGCCCATTCCTGTGCTATACTGTTCTACCTTGTACGTTCTAAAAGGGAAATCATAGTTGACAAATCTACTGGAATTCTTTGAGGATGTAACCAGTGGAGTTATCTGGGGGAGGCAGTGGATGTGATTCATTTGGACTTTTTGATGGCTTTTGACAAAGTCCCAGTTCAGAGATTAATGTGTAAAATTAAAGCTCATGGAATTGGGGCTAAGTGTATTAAGGTAGTCAGAAAATCAGTTAGCAGACAGAAAACAAAGAGAAGGAATAAATGGCTCTTTTTCTGAATGACAGGCAGTGGCTAGTGGGTTAATGCAGGGATCAGTACTAGGACCCCAGCTATTCACAATATACGTTAATGGTTTAGATCAGGGAACTAAGTGTAATATTCTAAAATTTGCAGATGACACAAAGCTGGGTCAAAGGGTGAGTTGTGAGGAGGATGCAGAGATGTAGCAGTGTGATTTGAACAGGCTGAGTGAGTGGACAAATATATGGCAAGTGCAGCATAATATGGATAAAAAGTGAGGTTATCCAGTTTGGTAGCTTAAGTAGGAAGACAGATTATTACTTGATAGACTGTAAATTGAGAAAGGACAATGTTCAATAAGACTTGGGTGCCCCATGCACCAATTGCTGAAAGTAAGCACGCAGGTGCAGCAGGCAGTGAAGAAGGCAAACTGTATGTTGGACTTCATCACGAGTGGCTTTGAGTACGGAAACAAGGATGTTTTTGCTGCAGTTATACAGGACATTGGTGAAACCACACCTGGAATATCGTGTGCAGTTTTGGTCTCCTTATCTGAGGAAGGATGTTCTTGCCATAGAGGGAGTGCAGCAAAGGTTTACCAAATTGATTCCTGACATGGCAGGAATCCCTTAAGATGAGGTGAGGAGAAATTTCTTCACTGAGAGCGTGGTGAGACTGTGGAATTCACTATCACAGAAAGGGTTTGAGGCCAAACATTTAAGTGTTTTCAAGAAGGAGGTAGATATCACTCTTGTAGCTAAAGGGATAAAGGGATACAGGGGATGTCAGGATTACAGTATTGAATTCTGTGCTCAGCCATGATCATAATGAATAGTGGAACAGGTTAGACAGTCGAATGGCCTATTCCTGCTCCCAGCTTCTTCGTTTCTGTTATTCCCAAAATGCAGATAAGAGAGGAGTAGAATTAGAAGCAAATTTGATTGAATCTTCGAGGCCACAATGAGGGGAGTAATTGAAATCAACAGAGTCATTAATGTACCAAGACAAAGAAGTGAGGGTGAGAGAAAGATTCAAAGAAAGAATATGGCTCCATTCCACAAAGAGGCCAGATAGCTAGGATCTATAATGGTTCCATAGCAGTACCTTTTATTTGGAAGATGTGAGCAAAGTTAAAGTAAAAAGTGTTCAATATAAGTACAGGTTCAGACAGATGGACGATGATAGTGGCGAATGGGGAATGGTTGGGCCTTCGATTCAAGAGAAACTAAAAGGCATCTAGAATGATCTAGTGAGGGGATGAGGTACAGGGGAATTGGATGTCCTAGTATAGAGCCTCTGGAGGAAACTGCTGAAGGGATGGGGTGTCGGACGATTAAATGTCCTGATTCTTACATGGGGGTAAAAGATACTGAATCAGAGGAAATAGCCAGAACCAGGAAACTAGAGATGTGTAAAGAAGCAAAAGGCATTGGAAAAGTTGCGCTTACAAGTCAGAAGAGACTGGACGAGAGGAAAGGGTAGAGAATTTCAATTCATCTTAATACTCTGTGCAGTAAGTCAAGATGGAAAATTCAGCATTCTGTGCAGCTGTGAGCTTTCAGTCTTACCCAGGCATGTTGGTGGACAGCGTCTGCCTGCCCTCAGAGACAGCAGTCATGTAAGATGATGGGCTATATGTTCCTGTGGAATTAATAGCAGGAAATGCTTTCCTCAACAACCGACCCCACGTGGCGATGTTAATATTCATCTGAGGAGCTCGAAGGAAAGCCTTCCCTAAAACACAACACATCAGGTAGCAAGTTAGTGGAATTAGTGTGTACGTGCATCATTTAGGACAGCTCCTTCAACCAACACACTCTGGAGCACAGCCAACCAGCCAGTCTTCGCCTCACAACCCTCAAAACATCTCATAATGACTCCTCCTACCCTCAATCCTTTTCTTTCCTCTGTTCAATGTCTACGTTGTTCCTTCCTTGGTTGGTATCTATTCTCCTGCTTTGCAAGCATGTGAGTTGCTGCAGTTTTCCAATGATTTCAATGAAGGAGCAGTGAATTGTTACAGCCAAGTTTGCTGATAACAGTGTGTCTGGTGGCAGATTAAATACAGCAGATGTGACAGCAGAAATTGCAAAGGGTCACTGACAGATTAAGAAAGTGGGTAGTACAAAAAGGCATGCTGGAATAATGGAAAGCATAAGGTTGAATTTTGACCCAAGAAGGGTAGTTCAGAGTATTTCCTAAATGGCGAGAAGCGAGAAACTGTAGAGGCGGAATTAAATTTACTGGGTCAATCGCAGAAGTCACTAAAAAAAACTAATGGAGAGGTATAGCTTACACTCTAAACAGCCATGTCCTTTCATGTTCTAAAACATTGCAAGACATTTCAAAGCAGTGACACAAGACAAAACTTGATATTAAGCCACTTAAGGAGACATGAAAACAGATGAAAAGAAATTTGTTCAAAGCAGCAGATTGTAAGGAGGGACTTAAAAGAAAGAGAGGTAGTGAGGTTTCAAGAGGGTTTTCCAGAAATTCAGACAGAGCTACTGAAGGCACAGCTGCTAACGGCAAGAATGGAGGCGCGTAGGTTGGCCAGAACTGAAAGATTGTTTATATCTTGGATAGTTACAGGTTGAATACAGAGATAGGAAGGTGAGAGGACTGGGAATAAAAGGATTATAATTTTAACACCAAGATATTGCTGGACTGAATGGAATGATAGCCTTCATCTCTCAACGAAGCCAGAATACAAACCGGTAGAAGTTATGCTCTCGTTGTACAAAACTTGAGTTGGACTACACTGGGAGCCTGTGTTCAGCTCTGACCTCAGGAAGGTATTTGAGTGGGTGCAGCACAGGTTTACGAGAATGACATTGCAGATGAAGATTGTATACACGAGGCATGATCTCACTAATCAAAGATTAAGCATGGGGAGGGAATTAATTTCGGAGTTTTAGATGTTTAAAGGCTGTGTTGGAGTAGGTGGCATGAAGTTATAGCCTCTGGCCAATGAGTTCAGAACAAGCAACATAACGTTTAAAGTACAGCTAGGCCATTCAGGAATGACGGAAGGTTCTGACGGAAGGTTATCAATCTGAAATGCTAACTGCATTCCTCACTTTGCACACTGCCTGACCTGCTGAGTATTTGAAGCATTTTCGATTTTTATTCAATGTAGTGTCAGAATAAACTTCACCTGGCAAAGGCTGGTAGTTATTTCGAATACTTGTTGTCAAACAGTTGTTGAGGATTTACTGAAAACCTCAAAATCAAAATTGCAACCCTAGTCAGGCTAAGTTTTTAAGGAATATAAAACTAAAACAGTTATATGCAAAGATGCAGATCAAGCACAATCTGACTGAATGGTGGAACACACTTGAGGGATTGAATAACTGGCATCTGTTCTGATCAAAGTGGCATGGGGAATTTGTTCAGTTCCACTATTAATGCTCCTTTCCAAGATTGATGTATTTAGAATCACAGCAGCCAGATTAAATAGGGGAAGGCATGTATTTTTCTTTGAATTACATCAATAATTATTTGGTAGTACAGAATTTCAGTATTGCTGAAAGAAGACGTTTTGATGAAGCTATCATCAGAATAATTTGTCATAAATATCACTTACACAAAAAAAAATTATACTTTATGAGAGGAGAATACTGCTTACTTGGTAAATGGACTATGATTGGCACAGCTGCAATGAAGAATGTATCCGTTAATGATGACTCATAGACAAGCTTTGTTTAAAGTTTGGAATGGATTGGTCAAGGCATTGCCCTAAATAATGAACCACAGAATGGCTGTCAGCTAAATTGTTGAATTGAAACAGGTGCAGGGTGGGTGTATGATAAAGTGCATCTGTTTTCAGCAATACTCAAGTTCTGAGTTATACAAGGCAGTCAGTTGGTTTGCATTTGGTAATATTTCACAAATAACGATACACTGCATTCATAGTTAGTGGTCAAGACAACTAACTGCAGCATCCTCTGGAGCTGACAGGGGAATCAAGGCCTTGAGGAGTTTAGACATAAAAGCAGCCGGGCTGAGAGTCCTGTGGGAATATGTTACTTTTTTTATTCACTGGTAGGATGTGGACATCACTGGCTGGCCAGCATTTATTGCCTGTCCCTAATTGCCCTTGAGAAGATGGTAGTGAGTTGCCTTCTTGAACCACTACAGTCCACGTGCATAGGTTGATCTTCAACACACTTAGAAAGGGAATTCCACAACTTTGACCCAGCGACGGTGAAGAAACAGCAATATGTTTCCAAGTCAGAATGGTGAGTGGCTTGGATGGGAGCTTGCAGGTCATGGTGTTTCCATGTATCTGCTGCCCTTGTCCTTCAAAATGGAAGCGGTCATGGATTTGGAAGATGCCGTCTAAGAAACTTTGGTGAATTTCTGAACGCACCTTGTAGTCAGTACATGCAATGGCAACTGAGCATCGGAGGTGGAGGGAGTGGATGCTGGTTGAACTGGTGCCAATTAAGGGGGCTGCTTTGTCCTAGATGGTGTCAAGCTTCTTCAGTGTTATTGGAGCAAGTGGGGAGTATTCCACCACACTTGTGCCTTTTAGATGGTGGACAGGCTTTGGGGAGTCAGGATGGAGTTATTCGTTGTAGTCTCACCTGCTCACGTAGCCACTGTGTTTACGAGATGGGGGTCCCGTGTTGGACTGGGATGGACAAAGTCAGAAGTCAAATAACACCAGGTTATAGTCCATCTGTGAGTATGACTATGCCAAATTGTTGCTTGGCTAGTCTGTAAGACAGCTCTCCCAATTTTGGCACCACTCCCAGATGTTAGTAAGGTGGACTTTGCAGGGTTAACAGGGCTGTTTCTGCTGTTATCTTTTCTGGTTATGAGGTCAACGCCAGGTGATCCATCCGGTGTGATTTCTTTGTTAAGCCTTCGTAATGATTGGTACAACTGAGTGGCTTGCTAGGTTATTTCAGAAGGCAGTGAGGACTGCAGATGCTGGAAGCTAGAGTCAATAAATGTGAAGCTGGAAACGCACAGCAGGTCAGGCATAGAACATAGAACATAGAACATTACAGCGCAGTACAGGCCCTTCGGCCCTCGATGTTGCACCGACCTGTGAAACCAATCTGAAGCCCATCTAACCTAAACTATTCCATTATCATCCATATGTTTATCCAATGACCATTTAAATGCCCTTAAAGTTGGCGAGTCCACTACTTTTGCAGGCAGGTCATTCCACGCCCTTACTACTCTGAGTAAAGAACCTACCTCTGACATCTGTCCTATATCTATCACCCCTCAATTTAAAGCTATGTCCCCTCGTGCTAGCCATCACCATCCGAGGAAAAAGGCTCCCACTGTCCACGCTATCTAATCCTCTGATCATCTTGCATGTCTCTACTAAGTCACCTCTTAACCTTCTTCTCTCTAACGAAAACAGCCTCAAGTCCCTCAGCCTTTCCTCATAAGACCTTCCCTCCATACCAGGCAACATCCTGGTAAATCTCCTCTGCATCCTTTCCAATGCTTCCACATCCTTCCTACAATGCGGTGACCAGAACTGTACACAATACTCCAAGTGCGGCCGCACTAGAGTTTTGTACAGCTGCAACATGACCTCGTGGCTCCGAAACTCAATCCCTCTACCAATAAAGCCTAACACACCGTACGCCTTCTTAACAACCCCATCAACCTGGGTGGCAACTTTCAGGGATCTATGCACATGGACACCGAGATCTCTCTGCTCATCCACACTACCAAGAATCTTACCATTAGCCCAGTACTCTATTCCTGTTACTCCTCCCAAAGTGAATCACCTCACACTTTTCCTCATTAAACTCCATTTGCCACCTCTCTGCAGCTTATCTATGTCCCTCTGTAACCTGCAACATCCTTCCGCACTATCCACAACTCCACCGACTTTGGTGTCATCCGCAAATTTACTAACCCATCCTTCTACGCCCTCATCCAGGTCATTTATAAAAATGACAAACAGCAGTGGCCCCAAAACAGATCCTTGAGGTACACCACTAGTAACTGAACTCCAGGATGAACATTTCCCATCAACCACCACCCTCTGTCTTCTTACAGCTAGCCAATTTCTGATCCAAACCGCTAAATCACCCTCAATCCCATGCCTCCGTATTTTCTGCAATAGCCTACCATGGGGAACCTTATCAAATGCTTTACTGAAATCCATATACACCACATCAACCGCTTTACCCTCATCCACCTGTTTGGTCACCTTCTCAAAGAACTCAATAAGGTTTGTGAGGCACGATCTACCCTTCACAAAACCATGTTGACTATCCCTAATCAAATTATTCCTTTCTAGATGATTATAAATCCTATCTCTTATAATCCTTTCCAACACTTTACCCACAACCGAAGTAAGGCTCACTGGTCTATAATTACCAGGGTTGTCTCTACTCCCCCTCTTGAACAAGGGGACAACATTTGCTAGTCTCCAGTCTTCTGGCACTATTCCTGTAGACAATGACGACATAAAGATCAAAGCCAAAGGCTCTGCAATCCAAGGACAGCATCCAAGGAGCAGAAAAGTCAACAATTTGGGCCGAAACCCTTCATCAGTCCTGATCTGCTGTGCTTTTCTAGCTCCACAGACATTGACTGTATTTCAGAAGGCAGTTGAGAGTCACTTTGTGTGGGTCTTGAGTCAGAAGTGAGATGAGGATGGTAATTTCCTTCCCTGAAGGACATTAGGGAGCCAGATGGCTTTTTTTCTGACAAACAACAATGGTCATCAGTTTCAGATTTTGTTTTTGAACTCAAGTTCCACCATCTGCCATGGCAGGATCTGAACCTGGATCCCCAGAATATTAGCTGAGTTTCTGGATTAATAGTCTCATAATAATTCCACTAGGACATCGCCTCCCCATAATTTGCTTCGGAATCTTCTCAGCATCTCAGTGTAGACTCAGGGTTCAAATACATATTTTGGTTTTGGGGGTGTGGGCGATGTAAACAGTGGCCCATGCGGAATGTCACTACACTAGTAACCCAGAGACCCAGGCAAAGCTCTGGGGCTGCTGGTTCAAATACCATCACAAGAGCAGGTAGAAATTAAATTCAGCTAAGAAATATGGAAGATAAAGTTCGTCTCATCATGACAGTTGTTGAGTCATATGGGATGCAAAACTTTTGGCCCACCATGTCTATGCCAACCAACAAATGGCATCAGACTACACTAATCCCATCTACCTGCACTTGGTCCATCGCCTACTATGCCCTGACATTTCAAGTACTCATCCAAATATTTCTTAGATTGTTGTAAAAATCTGTCTAGTTTACTAATATCCTTCAAGGAAGAAAATCTGCTATCCTTAACTCGTTCCAGACCCTCAGCAATGTGGTCGACTCTTAACTGCCCTTTGAAATGGCCTACCAAGTCACTCAGTTCAAGGGCAATTAGGAAAGCGCAACAAATATTAGCCTTGCCTATGATGCCCACATTCCATAAAGGTATAAAGAAAACCTTAAGTCCTATATGCATGGTCTGGCACATTGAAGCATTATTCTGACCAGTCCGGCTGGTAGAGTGCATGACTGATGTCGAAGTTACTGTTTGACTTTTGCATTCTGCTAAATTAGCAGATCCCAGTGAGAATGGAAACAATGCCATCATTGAGCTTGCACCTTTAGACTAGAAGAAAGCGATACTCATGAGGGCTGTGCTCCAGATGGTTGGTGAATGATACCCTGAAAGAAAGGGCATGCTGGTGAGACCACAGAACAGAGTCACTCACAAAAATTAAAGCCCATGGGAGTGAACAGGGTTTCTTGGTTGCGACATTACTTAAGGCGTAGAAAGCAAAGCATAGTGGTGAATGTTTGACTTTTCAGACTCAGGGGACGCACATATTGGGCTCTTTAATTAGAGCTAGAGTTAAATGTGAATTAAGTTGAAGTAAGGTAAAGTAAGATTTAAAGTTGAAGTTAAGTTAGATGAAGTAAGAAGTAAATGTTGCAACAAATGTATGTTTTATATTGAGTATTGGTACCTAAGGAGTTAAATAAAGGAGGGCTTGTTTAATTAAAGTCTGTGTTGACTCTCTGTCTTTTGTCTGTCAAACAAGGGAAAAATATCTGAGTAAAATGTTTGAGTATTCCATTCAGGTAACAGTACCATCTAGAGATGTAACCATTAATGCACCAGGCTCCTTCAACAGCACTTTCCAAACCTATGACCTCCATCATCTAGAAGGTCAGTGCAGCAGATACATGGGGACACCCCCTGCAGATTCCCTTCCAAGCCACAAGCTATCATGGATTGAATTGAATTAGCTTTATTGCCACATGTACGCAAATGAGAACAGTGAAAAGTTTAGGCGCAGCATTACAGCGCCATCTTGGGTACACAGGCGCCTAGGTACAGATACTTAAGATCAAATTCTTAGGAAACAAAAACAAATTAAAGAAATAAATAGTCAGCATTATAGATCATAGGAACAAATTAGAAAAATAAAGAAGTTAAAAAGTTCAGAATATCACCATTCCTTCACTGTTGTTGGAGCAAAATCCTAGAACTACCTTCCTAAAAAGCACCACTTGGACTGCAGTGGTTCAAGAAGGCAGCTGAACATCACCTTCTCCCAGAGCAATTAGGGTTGGGCAATAAATAACAGTGACACTCACATCCCATGAATGAAAAAAAAAGTAACTTAAATTGAAAGTAACCTGATCTGACAGGTAAATTCCATTGAAGAGACTGAAACAATCACACTTTACCTTGCTGTTTGGAGAAAATCTTCTTTTGCCGTTGCAGTTTGGGTATTCGTTCAATCACAGGATTAGAAAACGTGACCTGAGAATAACAACAACATTGTGGAAGCCAGGAAGTGTTATAATACAGAAGGAATCAGCCATGAAATTAACCAAGCACTTCAGTTGGTTAATGTGGGACTGCACCTCAAAAACCTCTGCTTCTGAACAGAAAAGACTTACGCGCACTTATCACAGAACTAGATGTGAAAGCAGATGCAGGTATAGTCCTGTATGCATATACCCCTAGATAAATATTGAATACCAGAATTCCCCAAGCCCTCACACTCTCACCATCCCTGGTGTGTACTGGCTTCTTTCCACTACACAGATGTACACTTTTCCCAGCTATTCTACACAGACACAGACACAGACATCCTCTTCCCTATTTAAATGTGCACACACACACACACAACGCCCAACCCAACCTGCACATGCATTCACTAGTATGTATTCCCCAAGTACCTTACACAGTCCCTAGCCTGCATATTTTCATCCGTGCATACATGCAACTACCTCTGCATACACTCCCCTCCTCCCCTACACCACAAACCCACCTCTTCCACATGCACTCACTTCCATCTGTGCATCTACACACTCTTGCATAAGTATATACACCTCGTGTAACTAAATGGTATTGGTATAAGTTCAATTGATCTCTCTGCTCCCTAAGCCAATGCTGCAAAAACCTATTTCATTGGTCTCCGATACGTTGATAGTAAGGCAAGTAAAATCAAACCAGAGACCGTTGCTGACATGCTCTGCTCTGTGTCCTCCCATTCCAAAGCTGTTTAACCCCCACTTGACAGAGATAAACAAGCCCATTTTCTACATTTAACAATTTAGGCCTTTCCTCCTAAACAGCCTCAACAAAACCCTCAGTGCCAGGTTCATCGGGAAGGGCAGTAGAACTTAAAATCTAAACTCAAGTTGAAAACCTTCATGTTTAGCTTTTTTTTTTACAGTCAACATCACATCACTATGAGATAAGGAAGACATAAATGCTGAGCATGTCGTACTTAAAACTGAACCAAAGATCTTAATTTTCTTTTTTTATTTAACCTACTTGGTTATCGAATCGCTTCACAAGCGAAAGAACTCTGGTTCCAAGCGAAGCATAAACATTACGTGAACAGAGTCATGCTGCAGGGGCATGCCGGTCCATAACCCACAAGTCAATGGTTTGAAAACATCCTCTACAACTTGAGTGAATCAAAGATCTTACCTATTTTTCTAATCAACCTGCTCAGAGAAGTTACTACACACTTCTGGAACAGGAGGGACTCGAACCCAGGCTTCCCGGTCCAGGGGTAGGTCCATTACCACCGCATCACAAAAGCTACAATCAGATACCTTTTTTTTTTGCTTTTCTTTATTTAACCTATTTTTCCAATCAACCTGTTCAGGGATGTCATCACATACGTCTGGAGCAGGTGGGACTTGAAGCCAGGCCTCCCGGTTCAGGGGTAGGAAATCTACAGGTAGTTCTGCTATAATGCGTGTTTCATTAACGCAAATTGGCTGTAACACGATTGATGAATAGTGGACATTGTTTGGATAACGCAAACTTTCTGTGGTACAGTTATAGCAATTTCCCTATAATGCAATTTTCTAAGGCGATTTTCTACAGTGCGATATTCTACAGCGCAAGGTCACACAACTATCACATTTTCGGAGAAATACCTGTACTGCTATGCCAACCAAAGATCTTGAGTCACGCCTCATAAGCGGGAAAGCCTGCTTTCTGCCGCACCAATTAGGCTGTGCTGTAAGTGGCCCGTAATGTTAGGCAAACAATTTCCATCAGTGCCTGAACTAACAGTTGCCTAATCTTCCTACAGCTTTCTACACAGCTGGTTTCCAATTACTCGAAGACTGAGTGCATTATTAACTCAAACCAAATCTTATCCTAATTCAGCATCATGAAGAGCTGAAGGGGAAAGCAGCAATATTTACCAAATGCTCAGTTACCAAGTTAATACTCCAGCATGAGTACAAGTACCTCCCATGTAACTCATGCAAAATCCATGATCTCACCTCTTCTATGGAAACAGAGAGCTGAGCTCTTTCCCTAGTGGTAGGGAAATCGAAGCCTGAAGGAAAGACTTCCACTAGGCCAACAGGTCTCCTGCTTCAGATTCAGGACTGAAATGAGCCCTAGTGAAGAGATTTAGGTCACATCATTCGCCAGCTGAAACCTCAAAATGGTGTGTTAGGCTTTTTGAACCCAAATCTCATTTCCTAACTGTCATAGCCTCTTCTAACAATCCCTAATCTTCCTCCCTTTTTCCAATCTTTTGCCCCACAACTCCACCACTCCACTCACCATCCTTTTGCACTTCTCACTCCTGCCCACCTTAATTCATCTACTTTCCCTCCTCCCCAAAATTCCACCTTCTCTCCTGCAATCCCTTGCCTGGGTCCAATTATGCTTATGAATTTTGCTTTCCTTCCACTGCGCAATCTTCTGGTTATACTTGTGTACAGAAATATCACACAGAAAGTATTTGTGTGCATTGGGTCTTTAAACTGTGTCAATCTCCTGTGGTTTCTGTCAGTGAGGGAGCACAGGGGAAATAAGTAGGAGAAACTAAATTAAGGACTGAGGGGCAGCAAGGCCAAAAAAATGACAATACGATAATTTGCACTACATTTCTAAAAGTTTGCAACAGTCACAAAAGATCAGCGGAGTATGATGTGTACCTCTGTCAACAGCACCCCCTGAGGTTCCAAATCTAGCTGTATTTCATGCCGTTGGTTATCCAGGAAGTCTTCCAGTTTAAGATATTTTAAGGCACAGAGAGAACGCCAGTCCCGCCAGTAAACACTGATCTCTAATTCCCGAGACTGCAACATCAAAAAAAAAGATAAATTAAAATTCAAGCTTGCAGGTGAATCAAGAACAGCCTAGAAATCTATCAATTACTCCATCAGACAAACTAACTGCCCCTGAGTTTTAGCTTTACTCTCTCCACCTCTAGGTATCAGGTAACCGGCTCATCAGGTCATATTTAACCAGTCTGGACACGTTTGCACTGCAACATTTGATATAACATTTCTGTTCTAGGGTCGAAAACAATTTTGTCAATGGTGAACAGCAATCAGCCCAGCACCATTTCCAACCTTGCCCCAGCCTGAATACCCAATTTTAACTCCCACTTTCTACTCTACTTCTTGCCTCAACTCCACAAGTTCTGAACTTCAGGAATCTGCTCTTTGTCATCTATCAAAGACCTGTTGAAAGTCCATCTGCTGCATTACTGTTGTTTACTTTTGCTGCAGTTATTTCCTAAATGGTGAAACTGCAGAGCTCCGAAATACAGAGGGATCTGAGTGTCCTCATGAATTAATCATAAAAGGTTAACATACAGGTACAGCAAATAATTAGGAAAGCTAATAGAACATTACCAATTATCACATGGGGAACTGAATACAAAAGTAGGGAGGTTATGCTTTAGTTATAAAGAGCATTGGTGACATCACATCTGTACACAGTATGGTACATAGTACTGATAACTCAATTTAATAAAGAATGTAAATACATTCGAGGCAGTTCAAAGGTTTACTAGCCTAATACCTGGAATGAGTGGGTAGCTTTATGAGGAAAAGTTGGACCTGCTATAGTTTTAGAAGAGTAAGAGGAAACTTGATTGAAGTACATGATCCTGAGAAGTCTTGACAAGGTAGATGTGGAGAGGATATTTCATCTTATGGGAGAATCTAAAACTAAGAGTCACCATTTAAAAAATCACAAGTCACCTATTTAAAACAGAGGCAACATCTTTTTCTCTCTCAAGATCGTGAGTCTCTTCCTGAAAAGCTGGTGGAAGCAGAGTCCATGAGTATGTTAAAGGCAGAGATGGATAAATTCTTAAATAAAACAGAACTGTGGATGCTGGAACTCTGAAACAAAAACAGAAAAATCTGGACAAACTCAGGTCTGGCAGCAGCTGGACAGAGAAAGCAGAACAGAAAAAGTGTCACTGGATACAAAATGTTAATTCTGCTTTCTCTCCACAGATTCTGTTATACCTGCTGAGTTTCTCCAGCAGTTTCTGTTTCTAGTGTGGATGAATTCTTGTTAAGCAAACGGGTGAAAGGTCATCAGGGGTACGCAGGAATGTGGATTTGAGATTGCAAACAGATCAGCTATAGAAACATAGAACACTGCAGCACAGGAACAGGCCCTTCAGCCCATCACATCTGTGCCAACCATGATGCTATTCTGAACTTATCCTATCTGCCTGCACATGGTCTGTATTGCTCTATTCTCTGCCTGTTCATGTATCCGTCTAAGTGCCTCTTAAACATTGCTAACATATCTGCTTCTAACACCTCATCTGGCAGCATGTATCAGGCATCCACTAACCACTGCATAAAAGAAATCCTTGCACATCTCCTTTAAACATTTCCCCTCTCACCTTAAACCTATGTTTCCTAGTATTTGACATTTCTATCTTGGGCAAAAAATTCCAACTATCCACCTTATCCACGCCCCTTGTAATTTTATGTACTTCTATTAGGTTGCCCTTCAGATGCCAATGCTCTAGTGAAAACAATCCAAGTTTGTCCAACCTCTCTTTTATGGTGACTACTCCAATCCAGACAACATCTGGGTGTGGCAAACAATGCTGCACAAAATACTCTATATGTGGCCTAAAGTTTCATATAGCTGCAATTTTACTCGCCAACTTTTAGACTCAATGCTTAACCAATGAAGGAAAGCATGCTGAATGCCTTCTTTACCACCTTATCCACTCCTGTTGCCAGTTTCAGGGATCTATGGACTTGCATCCCAAGATCCCCCTGTATATCAATGCTCTTAAGGGTCCTGTCATTTATTGAATACTTACCTCTTGCATGTGACCTCCCAAAATGCATCACATCACACCTGTCCGGATTAAACACAACCTGCCAACTTTCTCCGTCCAACTTTCCTTCTGTATCCATTGATAACCTTCCTCACAATCTACAACTTTTTGTGTCATCTGCAAACTTACTAATCGGACCACCTACATTTTCATCCAAATCATTTCTATGTTCCAGCACTGATCCTTGCAGAACACCACCGGTCACAGACCTGTAGTCAGAAGAACACCCCTCCGCAACTAACCTCTGTCTTATATGGCCTAGTCAATTTTGTATCCAACTTGCCAACTCACCATGGATGCCATGACATTTGGTCTTCTGGACCAGCCACGATCTTCCTGAATGGTAAAGCAGTCTCAAGGAGTTGAATGGGATACTCTTGGTCTTAATTTGTACGTTCATATGTACAAATTCCTAAGTACCTTCCTTTTAATCTTCTTAGGCTCTAATTACATTGATTTCTTTTTCTTTATGAAATGTAAATTAGCTGTCCACCAACTCTTTGGTATCATTCACTCTTCTATTAAACTTTTAAATACCTCTGCTATCTCTTCTATAGCTTTTTTTTATATGCATAGTTGTAATCACTCTGGACCAGGAGACTTCATTCTCTCCAAGTTCATTTAGTTTATCAACGGTTTGGTAGAAGAATTAGTGGTGGTGATGGGTAGCGACATGAATTAACAATTAAATTTTATACACTCAAGAGTCTCTAACCTTATATATACACAAATCTTTAATCCTTGAATTTACAAAGAGGTATCCAATACAACAGCAACAACAATATAATTATGGTTAGACTGCAGCTGCATACCCAAATCTGTACAGGGCACTTTAGGAAGCTTTTCAAGGCATTGAGAAAACTTAAAAGTAGATTTACAACAGTGCCAGTGGCAAGGGACTTCAGTTATGAAGAGAGATTGGAGAAGCTGGGATTGTTCTCCTTACAGCAGGGACGATTAAGGGGAAAGTCAACAGCATCCATCAAAATCATGATGGATTTCAGGTATAGTAAACATGAAAAATGTGCTTCCAGCGTTAGGAGAGTTAACAACCAGAGAACTCAGATCTGAGGAAACTGGTAAAAGAACAACCTGGGAGGTTTTTTATATGTACTGATTTATAAGGAATTGGAAGGCAATGTGCCTGAGAAGGCAATGAAAACAGTTTCAACAGTAACTTTTCTAAAGACAACTGTACGCGTGGGGAGCAGAAAAACAGCAGAGAATTAGCACCAAGTCTAACACTCTTGCAAAGAGTCAGCACAGGAATAAAAGGCTGAATGACTTTCTATGCTATCTGATTCTACAATCTCACTCCTTTTTATCATAAATGCCTTAATGTCTGCTTTGATCTTTTATTCTACCGCCTGCCTCTCCCAACTAAGTAATTAGGCAACATAAGTGTTCAAAAATTCTAACTCTTATTTTCCTGTCTACGAAACTTTCCTGTGCACTCATCTGTGGCAATGTCCCACTGTACTGTTCCTCTTCCATTTACCTGTCTGCAGAATAGTTCATTACTACATTTTATGCTTTTTTGACAATTTCTCTTCTTTTAAGTGATTCTGAGTCCCTGCCGAACCACCTGACACTTCAGCATATACCAGTTTTCAAACTTATCTTAATTTCTTTATTTATACATTGATGCTTTCATGTTTCCTCATTTGTTCTTATTCTTTTACAGAATATATATCTCCTGAACTCTATGCAGCTTTTCAGTGCTTTTCCACTGATAACTTATCTTTGTGTCTTGTCATGGCATTGCATCTGGTGTCCACAGAACTATGCCTCAGACATGCATTCTCCTGATTTGGCAAAATAAGTTGTTATCTTGTTTATTTTGTTAACTGCTGTTGGGCAAGGTTTAGGTATCGGACTTCTGACTTTGTCCACCCCCGTCCAACACCGGCACCTCCACATCAGGGCAAATTTTAGATATGGTCAGTACTGAGCCGACAATCATTTTTTGTCTTTCAGTCTTATCCAATTCAGCAAGATTGGTACCAATCAACGGCTGAGTAAGAATCTGCTTCTACCTGACCTGACTTTATCTCCTAAAGATCCACCTGTTTACAAATTTCATTGTAATGTCCCTGTGTTCCTTCCTCCATCATACTCTACTGCCCCATCACGCAGTTTAGGATCTTCAGCATCCCTCTTGCTGATCATTCAGGAACATTGTGCTGTATTCACCTCCCATTTGTCACCACAAACCAACTCTGTCAAACTCCCCAAGCCACTTCCTGTAAGGATTCCCAGGGGGCCTGACACAATACCAAGACTGCACATTCAAATCTGACCCAGAAGGTTTTAGGTCCAAAGCCCACACAAGAGACTTAATAAAATGTACAATGACATTCTGGTGCAGTTAACAGTATATGTCAAGTGATACACTAAACTGAGATCACGTGATTTGCTCTGGCAAATTAATTGTCATCTTTCCTACGTTACAAGTGTACTTTTATCACTATAAAGCACTTTGGGGCATTCAGAATTAATGGAAGATATGCTTTCATTGCATTGTTCAGCACTGATCCCCAAGGAAAATACATACAGCACATTTTCCCAGTACTGATCCCTAAGGTACCACACACTGTACATTCCCTAGCACTGATCCCTGAGGTACCACACACTGTACATCAACCAGTATAGATTCCTGAGGTAGCACACACTGTACATCAACCAGCATAGATCCCTGAGGTAGCACACAGTACATTCTCTAGCATCACCATGTTGGGTTTCAAACCCACATCCCTAAAATATTAACCTGGCATTGTGGATTTTTAGTCCAATGACAAAAGCCCTACTCTACCATCTCCTCGAAAGCATTGATTACACTCTTAATGGACTGCAACAGTTCAAGGAGACAGCGCAGCATCCACATTCTCAAATGTAATTATTGAAGGGCAATAAATGCTGGTCCAGCCAGAGACTCCCCACATCCTTGAATGAAGAAAACAAAGCAAATCAATCATCTTTTTGGCAGTGCTTATATCTCCATAGAGTTCACCAACTCCCAAACTATTAAGAGAACCATAAAACCCACCTTAATATTGACCCCCTGCAGCCCAGAATTCACTGTTCCTTGAACAGTAGTCATGTATGCATTGAAAGCAGGAAAACAACACTATAAATAATCACAAAGAGGGACTGGGATGTGTGCTCTCACTCAGATATCTTCTTCAAAGAATACTCAGCATCACAGCACTTTCCTTCAGGTCTTGTCCTTCTGGACGATTCATCTGGAGGTAAAGCACCCAAACATAAATACACACCGCCCCCCACCCCTGAAAAGGGTCTGTGGGAATCTATGGGTGACTTGCTATTCATCTTCATACTCACACGCTCCAGCTCCACTGTGAAGGTTTGATTCCATGATTGTTCACCAACTGCTTTCCATGCCGTCTGTCCCACAACTGTGTTATCAAGCTTGAGGACGGCACTCACATCATCTAGAGAATGAAAAGGTGATAGGTTAGAGGTCATCAGAATGACCAGCTCATCACAATGAGTATCAAGGGTGAATCTTGTTCCTTCCTGAGTGCTGTCTCCTGTGAGGCCTCCATTAATTCACCCAAATTTCTGCTCTCAAGTCTACCACCAGAGTACATGTAATCCCATCCTTATCTGCTTTCCAATTATGTTTAACGAGGTGCCAAATGAAAGGCTGGTTAACAAAATTGAGGACCAGGAATAGAAGTGTCAGTACCAGTTTAAGTTGGCTGAAGGACAAAATTGACTTGTGGCAAATGGTTCTTTTTCAGACTGGAAAATAGTCAACAGTTGGATCAATACAGGAAATACTCCTTTAGAGTTTATGTATACTTAACATAAAAATAGCAAATGACAAATGACTCAGATATCGGAATACAAACTAAAGTTTAAAAATTTGCTAACGATACCAAACTTTGAAGGGCATTCAACAAAGAGGATGATGCAACAACACATAGATGAGCAAGAGGAGTGTGAAGGCAAGTGGAATATGGAACTTTAATATTAATAAGTATGAGATGATGCATTCTGACAGGAGAGGCAATGTAGCCTTAATGGCACAATGCTCAAGGATGTGCAGGAACAGATAGAATTTGGGGCTCATGTGCACAGCTCTTAGAAAATGTCAGTACACACACAGCAATTAACAAAACGTAAGGGATTTTGGGTTCATAAATAAATAGATATCCTGAGAGCGGGGAAGTAATGCTGAACTTTAATAATGCTCTGGTTAGCCCACAACTAATATACTGCGCCCTATTCTGGTCACTATAATCTAGGAAGAACACATTGGCCCTGGACAGGGTGGGGAGAATGATTTACCAGAATGGTTCCAAGGGTGAGGGAATTTGGCTACAAGAGAAGCTGGGATTGTTCTCCTTCAAGCAATGTAAATTGAAGGAAAGTTTGACAGATGTAAAAGTTTATGATGGATACAGATAAAGAAAACCTGTTCCCGTTAACTGATGGTACAAGGATTAGGAGGACATAGATAGGAAAATATAGAAACATAGAAAATAGGAGTAGGCCATTTGGCCCTTCTAGTCTGCTCCACCATTCAATACGATCATGGCTGATCATCCAACTCAACAGAATCTTGCATATTCCCCAATATCCTTTGAATATAAATGGATCAGTCAAATAGGCAGGTCAGTGGCAGGTAGTGTTTAACCCTGATAAAAGTGTGAAATGGAAGAAGTAACAAGACAAGGGAGTACTCAGTGAATGGCAGGGCACTAGTAAGGTCAGAGGAGCAGAGGGATTATGGGGCGTTTGCCCACAAATGTCTGAAGGCTAACAGGGTAGTTTAAAAAGACATATAGAACACTTGCCTAGATCAGTCAAGGCACTGATTATAAGAACAGGGATAGGAAGGATGTGATTGCAGTGGAAGGGGTGCAGAGGAGATTCACCAGAATGTTGCCAGGTTTGGAGCATTTTAGCTGTGAAAAGAGGCTGGATAAGCTGGGGTTGCCTTCTTTAGATCAGAAAGACAGACAGGGGGCCTGACGGAGATACAAAAATTTATGAGGGGCATGGACAGGAAAGAATAGAAAGCAGCTATTCCCCTTATTTGAATGGTTAATAATGAGGGGGCATAAGGTGAAGGTCAGGAGATTTGCAAAGGAGATTTGAGGAAAAACTATTTTCACCCAGAGGATGGTGGGAATCTGGAATACTCTGCATGGAAGGGTAGTTGAGGTAGGAAAACTCACAACCTTTTCCAAAAAAAATACGTGGATGAGCACTCAAAATGTCATAAAACTTAAGTCAAAGGCTAGGTTCTGGAAAGTGGGATTAATGTAGATAGATTTGTACAGATTGGCCAAAGGGACTCTTGTGTACTGTATTTCTATGATTCGAGACGTGGTCACTGTCAATATCCCAATTTGAAATGATGCAGGGTAAAAAACAGCAATCTACTGCTCCTGTCTCAGAGATTAAGCATTCTGCCAATATTATCAGTTGGACAAACAATTTGCAGTGAGATAATGCTAGGAGGCAGAGATCACATACGTTAGAATAGATAGCCTGTATGCACAATATTGAATTTCAGGAAAAGAGAGACTGGTGTTTTTTCTGTCTTCCACAGAAGTGGTCATGACGACCATGGCAAGTCAACTTCATTTAAAAGACAACACCCAGGTTTTAGCCCAAAAATTCTTACTTTTCGATATATCTTGTGCTAGTTTTGAGAGCAGAGTTAGTGGGAGGATCATTTGAATATTTTCATAATTGTTCTTCTCTTTTTAAAAACTGTCAGAAAACAAAATCCTGGGAAAGCATTCATCCTGAACTCAAAGCCATGGTGAGCAACCCCTGAGACAGAAACAGGCAAAAACAGAAATAGTTGGAGAAAATCAGCAGGACCAGCAGCATCTGTGAAGAGAAAACACAGTTAGCGCTCCAAGCCAAATGAATCTTCAGTTCTGAAGAAGGGTCACTGGACTCGAAATTTTAACTCTGTTTCCTTTCCACAGAGGCTGCCGGATTTCTCCAGCAATTTCTGCGTGCATGTGTTTTGGATCTCCAGCATCTGTAGTTCCTTGTTTTATCATAACACTTGAGACAGTGTCATTATTGGCCAGTCCCAAGAACTGGCAATGATTTTAACACCTCGCAAATATTACTTGCCCTCACAAAAATTACTTGTGTACATGTTGACCTCCTACATACTGCCTAAAGAACAGCTGATCTTAAGAAAATTCGACTTATACAGGAATAGAAACAGTAAATTTCAAAAATGGCATAACTTCATGACATAATTCTCTGAAGTGTTAAATTTCAAGACTGCATTTTTTTCAATGCAAGAAGTCATCAAATAAAAAGGAGCTGAAGAGCTTGCTCATCTATCATCTTATGAGGAAAGATGGAATTTAGAAGAATGAGTGACTGTCTTAATGAGACACAAGATTCCAAGAGTCTTGACAGGGTAGATGCTGAGAGGAACTTTCCTCTCATGGGGGAATCTAGAACCAGGGGGCACAGTTTAAAGATAAGGGGTCATCTACATAAAGGCAGAAATGAGGAAGAATTTTTTTAATCCCAATGTAATCTTTGGAATTTCCTTTGCCAGACAGCAGTGAATGCTGGGCCATTGACATTGGGCAGACCTTTGACTGGCAAGCAAATCAAAGGCTTTAGGGGCTCAGGTAAGTAAGTGAAAGTAAAGTCACAGTCAGAACAGCCATCACCTTCTTGATTGGCAGATCAGGCTCAAGGGGCCAAATGGTCCACTCCTGCTCATTGTGATATTATGAATGTACTGATAGCTTTGACTGAGCAAGAGAAAACCCCTTAGCTAATTTTGAATCTCACAGCCAAACCATTATGATGAAAACATACAAGCTCTGTTAAATGCACTCAACTGGATAACTCTTCAGATTTGATAACGAGGTTGCGGCCACTGCCACTTCCACTTCTTCCGTACAGACCCCGGCTGGTCCTGCTCATGAAAGAAGTTCGACTCTCGTTGGGACTGTATGCAGGCAAGGGGACACCAGACCCACGAGATCGCCCTGGAACAGACTCTAAAAGACCTGTACAACCAACGATCCGGACCTCCAGTGTACCTGAAACAAGCAAACAGTAAACAGCAGAACAACCAATTGTGCTTTATCAGTAGTCCAACTCAATTAGAAACGGACTGTTTTCACATATTGTCCCCACCTCTCAATCTGAATTATTTCTCCATTATTTTGATCCTTACCAGTCCTAGAGACCATCTTTACAATCCCAAAATCGATGTAACCACCATACGCAACATTTCAGAGAGAAACCTGGCTGGAGCTGTCTTTTGTTTTATGTATTACTCCCAATGGGTTTTGTTCTGGTACAGTGGCAGTGTCCCTACCTTTGAACCAGGAAATCTGAGTTCAAATCCCATTTGCTCCAGAGATGTGACATAGTGTCAGGTTGATTAGAAAATATCTGTCCTACTCCTTGTGCTCCAACAGCTCGAAATATTTGGACAATCAAACAGCACAGAAAGAGGCCATTCTGCCTAGTCCACCTGTGCTGGCTTTTTGATAATGTGCCCAACTGCCCCATTCCTTACCCTGTGGCATGCAAATTTTCCACTTACTTATTCAAGTACTAAACAAAATTCTAAAAGATGGAACGGAGATTTTTTTTCTTGATTTGTGGTTGGATACCTAAGGCCCGCTGCTTGCAATTCCTACATCACTGAAATACAAAACAGTATTTGTGTCTTGGACACCATGTTTTCCAAGCATTTCCAGGTGCTCAAGTTCAAACTCAGGATTTCTGATCTTTGGGACAGTTCGAGTCACTTGAGTGCATCAGGGAGGTCGGGTTCTCTTTAGGTTGCAAGTTCCTGGAGGGGGCCACCCCACAGGCAGTAAGAGCTGAGGATCAGAGCTAATTGGAAGAGGCAGGAACTGCAGGAGTCTCCAAGATGGGCGTGTAGTTCTCAAACGAATACTCAGCACTGCGGACGACACGGCAAAGGAGTGAAATCCAAATCATGCTGCTAATGAGTGGAGCAACACAGGAGGGAGCAGCGAAAAGTTGAAGTGCAATTGTTACAGGCGAGTCCACAATTTGGGAGACAAACAACATATTCAGGCATGGTATAATATTACCTTGGTGTCAGGGAGAAGAACCCCACAGACAGCATGCAGAATATGTTACAGGGCCCACGACCAGAATTTGCAGTACAGTCGATGGCAATGAGAAAGCAAGAGGAGATCCTACAGTACATCCTACGTTGAAGGATTATTCCCAGTTGCATACAACAGTGAATGTTGAAACATGATACAATGAAGATCAATGTGAGGCTTGAGGCATATTGCACGAGCAAGTGCTTCAGGGTCTCGGGCCATTGAGTTCACCTCCAAGGCAGAGGTACCCATTCAAAAGGAAAGGGCTACACCTCAACAGGAATTGGAGCAATGCCCTCAGACAAGGTTCACTGGTATGGCTGGGGAGAATTTAAACTAAATTGGCATTTGGGATGGGGTGGGATATCTTAGAAGTGAGGAAAAATATGTGTAGACTTTAAGAATGTTGGACAGTATTAGGAAGGAAGTAGTAACAATAGATAGGAGCAGACTAACAGGACTGAAGAATACAAAGGCAGTTTTACAACAAGCACAAAGCACCGTGAATAAGATGAGTGAGCTACAAGTACAAATACCTATAGGAATATGATGTAGTGGCAAAAATGGAAACATGGCTCAAAAGTGATAAGGGCTGGCAGTTTACTATTCACAGTGTTAAGAAACGAAAGGGAAGGAGAAATGGGAGGCTGATTATCAGTACTGATTCAGAAAGGCATCCAAGTGCCAGAAAATGAGGATGTCCTTGAGACGGCAAGAATATTCTGCAAGAAAATCATTTGGTCTGATCTGCAAAGCAAACAAACTCAGATTGCACATGTGCAAGAACTATACAGAGGTGATATTGGAAGGAAGACCGAGACTTTAATTGCCCAAGTATCAACTGGGGCAATATTAGAGTAAAGGATCAGGAGGGGGAGGATTTTCTGAAACGTGTTCAGGAGAATCACCTTAACCCAATATGTGTTTGATCCAACTAGAAAAGACATATTGCTGCATCTGGTGCTGAGGAATGAGCTGCTCCAATTGAACCAAGTGTCTATGGGACAATAGCTGATGAAGAGTGAGCACCATACCATACAGTTTGGATAAGCGATGGAGAACTGAAAGAACAATCTAAAATGAATTGTCTGAATTGGAATAGAGCTGAGAGCAATGGGGAAATCTAGTCAGTATAAAACAAAACCAGATACTGTCAAGTAAAACTGTAATAGAACAATGAGTGCTTTTTTAAGGGGCTGACATTTTAGGTATAGATTAGTACATTTCAACAAGGATGAAAGATTAAGGGATACAAAGCTTCTTAGAAGAAGAAAGAGAAAGAGAATCCAAAAGATAAAAATTGATGCATGTCAGGTGAATTGAGAAGCAGGCCAAACAAAATACAGCAGATGAAAAGGGAGCTAAGTTTGGCAAAGAGAAAATAAAAATAGAATGACAGCCAACACGAAAGGTAACCCAAAAATTTTCCAATTGCAGGTAGTAAGAGGTAATGTGGAACCTATTAGGGACTAAGTAAGTGTCACTGCTTAGAGGCAGAGCAAGGCTAGATCACACAATGAGCATTTATATCAGTGTTTGCTAAAGAAAAGAATGGTGGCAAAATATCAGTGGGAGTGGGAGCAGTGAAGGTAATGGATGGACTGACAACTGAGGGGCAGGATGTATCTCAAAAGGCGGCTATGATGAGAGAGGATGGCATGATACTTTGCATCCCAGGCTGCAAGGGCTTCCCGTAACTTTCCGAGCTATGCAAGAAAGGGGCGGGGGAACGTGGGTCAGGCAACAAAACCGAAACTCATGTAATAGGAGGGGGAAGTGTCCAGGGAATGATAGACATCAGCGTTTGCCAATGGTCAGCGGTAGAAAATTGCTCTTTTTTGGCGTATAAATAAGATAGACATTAGGAGAGAGAAAAGTTTCAGAATTTGTCAATGATACCAAATTTGGAAGTGTGGCAAACAGTGAAGATAATACAAATAGAATGCAACAGACACAGACAGGTTAACAGAATTGGCAGACAAATGACAGGTTGAACTGAATGCAGAGAAGTGTGAAGTAAGCATTTGGCAGAAGGAATGCGAGAGGTAATACAGACTAAATGGCACGGTTCTAAAGCAGTTGCAAGGATTTTGGGCCTGAGGGTTCCAGTGATAGACCTTTGTTAACCATACTTCGAATATATCCTGTCACCTACAAAATTTACAGAATCTTGGCCTGCATAAAGAAGGACGGAGTACAAAAGCAAGGGAGTTGCACTGAAACTTTATAAAGCTCTGGGTAGGCCACATATAGAATAGTACATCCATCTCTGGTCACCACACTTTAGGAAAAGGAAAGACATGAGGGTTCAAGAGGGTGTAGAGAATATTTACCAGAACTGTTTCAAGGGAGAGGGATTTTAGCTGTAAGGTTAAGTCAGAGAAGCCAGGGTTGTTGCCCTTGCAGCGAAGGAGATGAAGAAGTGATTTGGTAGTTATTTAACAAGAATCCTAGAATCCCTCCAGTTTGCAAGGAGGCCATTCGGCCCATCGAGTCCACACTGATTCTCTGAAGACATCCCAGCCAGACTTAACCACCAGCCGTGTTTTCATAACCCTGCATTTACCATGGCTAATCCACCTAGCCTGCTCATCCCTGGATTCTATGGGGAAATTTAGCATGGCTGATCCAACTAACTGCACATCTATGGACTGTGGGAGGAAACAGAAGCACCTGGGGGAAACCCACACAGATACAGGGAGAACGTGCAAACTCCACACAGTCTCCCAAGGCTAAAATCGAACCTGGGTTTCCTGACACTGTGAGGCAGCAGTGCGAGCCACTGAGCCACTATGCTGCTGTAAATCAGATAAAGAAAGGTTTTTCCTTTAGCTGATGGTACAAGGATTAGGGGCCACAAACTTGATAATCAGGCCAAGACATGTGGAGTCATATGATGAAGGCTTTATAAACAAAATTACTGAGTGATAATGACCTGGAAGTTGATTTCCAAAGGAAATTGTTGGCCTCTTGAGGGGATGAACTTGCAGGGCTACAGAGATAGCAGAGGAGAATGGGACTGACTGGATTTCTCTACAGAGAGCCGGTATGGGCTCAATGAGCCAAATGGCTTCCTTCTGTGCCATTATGAATCAATAACTTCTGGGTTAGTCTCTCATTAAAGATTCTTAAATAGGATTGTATCAAGAGATGTATAGTTGCTGGCCCTGCTTCACAAAGGCTGTACAACGTCCTTGGAGAGTTTTTTTTAGATCTCAAATTAACAGCACATTCCACTGCAAAATCCCATAGTAAGTCAAAGGACAAGGGCACAAGGAGAGAATGCGCCATGCTGTTCACAGATAGTTAACAGCAAAATCTAGCCACTGAAAATTTTGAGGTAGAATGCTTTAGAAATCAAATTGGTTCACTAATATCCCTCATGGAAGGAAATCAGGCTGGTCTACATGTATCTCCACTCACAGGCTATGTGGCTGCCTGTTCAGGATACCCACATTCAAAAGAATAAGGAAGAAAAAAGATTGCATACCTGTCAGTGGTGATGGCTTGTAAAGTGTGCTATACTGGTTCTGTTGGTAAGAAGTGCTATTCCGATTGCTGAACGCTGGAGAGCTTGACATAACAAGTTCCTCTTTAACAATACAGCCTTTTGGATGATCTTCTGGGAGCTCATTTAATCTCTGCTCTAAAGAATGCTTTAATAAGTCCACCTTCTCACTCGACTCATTCAGCCTGGACTGAGCCTAAGTTTAAAAGCATATTTATGTGTAATAAATATCAGGTAAAACATTTATTAATAGCTATGCAGTATCCATGTGTGAGTTTGCTTTTAAAATAAGCATTTCAATGGCTACAAAAATTTCACAAATGGCTACTGAACTCACTCAGAATTAGACAGTGATTGAATCCAAAAGTTCAAAAAAGGCCATTCATCCCTTTAGACCTGTGCTAGCTCTCTGACAAATCTTATTAATTAGTGCCATTCCCCTGCTCTTTTAAACCTTTATTCTTCAAAAGTTCATCCAATTACAATCAAAAACTCTTTTTATAAAAAGAAAAGACAAAACGCTTAAATTTATATAGCACCTTTGGCAACCTCAGAATATATCAAAATATTTTGAACTTGACTGAAGTATTGTAAATCACAGTTATGGTCAAGCAGCTGAAATTGCATGCAGCAGAATCCCAAAAAGAGCAACGAGATATACGAGGGGAAAATCTTTTTTACTCCAGTGTTGGTTGTGGGATACAAAAACTGGCTAAAACACCACAAAGGACAGCCTTGATCTTCTCCCAACAGTGCCATGGGATTCCTGACATGCACCTGAAGACAGGCAGACAGAACCTAGGTTTAATGTCTCATCGTCTGCACTGCACAAGAATATCAGCCTGAATTGCTCCACATTCTCATTTGAAGATAAGAAAACTATCCACTCAGGCATGACTGACACAGAGTGTAGATTCTAATCTAAACATCTACTTCCTTCATTTTCCTGCTAATTTAGTTACTGGATCCTTTGGTATTCCAAATTCCTAACAGCTTTTCCTCATCGATCTCCAAGTTTTGAATACCTTCATCAGATTTCTACTTCACCTTCTATGTTCTTATGAATAATTATCCAAATCTCTTTTTATAAAACCCCTCCAAACCTAAACTTGTTAACAGACACAACGTGGAGTAGCAAGCTGCAGGCTAAGTTGTCTTAAAACCCATATGCAATTTACATGCAATTATACAATTTATGACGGAAATATAGACAACTACTCAGGAAAGATCAGTGCTGGCTGAACATTCCATGGTCAAATGGTCTGTCAAGTGCTTAACTCACACATTATCACCAGCCACTTCAGTAAGATGCCAAGGTGTCAAGAAGTGTCTCTAAAGTTCTCTCCTGAAGGGCCTGCTTCTGATTATAAGGTTGTATGCTCTGTGACTTTTTTACTTTTCCTACCTAGACTTCTCCACCAATAAAAAAATGTTTCTCACTATATAATGCACAAATTCATGTCATTTATCAAGTCTCAGAATCACAGAATTATAGTGCAGAAGGAGGCCAATTGGCCCTGTTATCTAGTATCTATATTCTATTACCTATCTTCTGCCTTTTCCCATATTCCTGCACACTATTTCTATCCAAATAACCACCCAATGCCCTTTTGAATTCCTAAATTGAACCTGCCTCAATCACGTTTCCAGGCAGTGCATCCTACATGCTAATAACTCGCTGTGTGAAAAAGATTTTTCTCATATCATGTTTGCTTCTTTTGCACGTCACTTTTAAAACGTTGCCCTATTGTCTTGTTTCTTTTACAAGCAGAAACAGCTTCACCCTATCTACTCTATCAAGCATGTAATGACTTTAAAAATCTTGATCAGGTCTCCTCTCAGCCTTCTTCTATGCAGGGAGAACAGTCCCAACTTTTTCAATTTATCCCCATAGGCGAAGCTTTTCATTCCTGGAACCATTCTAGTAAGTTGCTTCTGCACTCTCTCCAATGCATTCACATCTTTCTTATAACATGGCACCCATAGCAACACACAACACTCCAGCTGAGATCTAACAAGCGTTCAACATCACCTCTTTGTTCCTGTGGACTTGTCCTTTTGGAGTGCCACATTATCCCCTTCTTACAGTTTACGATTCTTCCAAGTTTAGTGTCACCTGCAAATTTAGAATATGTCCCCTGCACACTAAGATCCAGGTCATTAGTATGCATCAGGAAACCTAAGAATCCCGATTCCAACCTCTGGCAACTCCACTACAAACCTGCATCCAACCCAAAAATATCCTCTGACCATTATTTTTTGTTTTCTATAATTCATCCTATTGTGTATCAATGTTGCCACTGGCTCTTTCACACCATTACCTAAAACTTTCCTCACAGGTCTGCTATGAGGCACTGTATCAAATGCCTTCTGAAAATCCATGCATACCATGTTATAAGCATTATTCTCATCAATCTTTTCCATTGGAGACTGTAAGGACTGCAGATGCTGAAAGATAGAGTCAATAAATGTGGAGCTGGAAAGCACAGCAGGTCAGGCAGCATCTGAGGAGCAGGGAAGTCAATGTTTCATGCAGAAACCCTTCATCAGGACTGGGGAGAGAAGCCCAGAAATAAACAGAGAGAGGGGGGTGGAGATGGGGAGAGGGTAGGTAGAATGGAGACAGGTGGATGCAGGCAAGGGGTTATTGTCTAAGGTTTTGGAGTAGATCTGTAGCTCGGGTTGTGGATGTTGAGGTTGGTTGGCTCGCCAAACTGGTTTGTTGTTCCGCAGACATTTCGTTACCGTGCTTGGTAACATCCTCAGTGCAGCCTCTGATGAAGCGTCGGTGTGTTTTCCCGCCTGCTTTTAAAACTCTAGGGTCTGTTGCGATGGATTGCCTCACTTCCGGGTTTCCTCCGTAGTGGAATGTACATGGGGTCGAGTTCAATGTGTTTATTAATAACCTGTTTCGTGGAGTGCCATGCTTCCAGGAATTCTCGTGCTTGTCTCTGCCTAGCCTGTCCCAGGATCTTGGTGTTGTCCCAGTCGAAGTCGTGGTTCTCCTTGTCCATGTAGATTGAGATGAGTGAGTATTGGTCGTGTCTTTTTGTAGCCAGTTGGTGTTCATGTACTCTTGCTGTTAGTTTCCTTCCTGTTTGTCCGATGTAGTGTTTCCCCTTCCGGACAACAACACACTGCAGCAACATGGAACTACGCCAAGAGGAGGAGGAATACCACTTCCAAGTGTTCAAGGATAATGGATATCCAAAGAACTGGGTCAGGAGATGCCTACAGGCACAGCATCAGAAAGATTCTATACGCCCCGACACACTCATCACACTACCCTACATCAGGAACACGTCAGAACTCACCACAAGACTTCTACGACCGCTGGGCATCAGAGTGGTACACAAACCCACATCAATCCTACAACAAGTGCTCACCCGAACTAAAGACCCACTCCCCGCCATGGACAGGACCAATGTCATCTACAAGATCCCCTGCAGAGACTGTGAGAAACACTACATTGGACAAACAGGAAGGAAACTAACAACAAGAGTACATGAACACCAACTGGCTACAAAAAGACACGACCAATACTCACTCATCTCAATCCACATGGACAAGGAGAACCACGACTTCGACTGGGACAACAACAAGATCCTGGGACAGGCTAGGCAGAGACAAGCATGAGAATTCCTGGAAGCATCGCACTCCACGAAGCAGGCTATTAATAAACACATTGAACTCGATCCCATATACATTCCACTACGGAGGAAACCCGGAAGTGAGGCAATCCATTGCAATGGACCCCAGAGTTTAAAAAGCAGGCGGGAAAACACACCGATGCTTCATCAGAGGCTGCACTGAGGATGTTACCAAGCACGGTAACGAAACATCTGCGGAACAACAAACCAGATCGCTGAGCCAATCAACCTCAACAGGGGGTTATTGTGGTTGGTCAGTGGGAAGGGTGGAGCAGATAGGTGAGTCGGAACATGGACAGGTTGGGTGTGGAGAGATTTTGCAGCTGGTGAAGTCAATAATCAGGCCACCGGGCTGTAAGCTCCCAAGGCAAAATACTGCACGTTAGTTAAACATGATTTCCTCTTTAGAAATTCATGCTGACTCTCCCTAATTAATCCCATCTTTTTCCAAGAGACTTGATTTTATCCCAAATTTCTTTTCCAGAAGCTTCCCCACTACTGATGTTAAACTAACTAGACAGTAATTGCTGGAATTAGCCTTTTTTGAACAATAATTCTGGCAATTCTCCAGTCTTCTGACACTCCCTCCGAGTCCAGGAAAGACTAAAATATTATGGGCAGTGCCTCCACAATTCCTACCTTCACTTCCTTCAAATCTTTGGAAGCATCTCATTTGGTCCCAATGCCTTATTAATATTATAGAATTCTTAAGCTTCAAAAGAGGCAATTTGGCCCATCAAGTTACCAAAAAACCATCCAAAGAGCATCACACCCAGATCGAATCCACACACACACCCCACCCCCACCACCCAATTCCCCAAAACCCTTCCTTTACCGTGGCTAATCCTAACCTCTCCATCCCTGGACTCTACAGGGCAGGTTAGCATGGTCAACCCACCTAACCTGCCAGAAAGCCACGCAGACAAAGGGAGAAGGTGCAAACCCCACACAGATGGTAACTCAAGACTGAAATCCAGCTCGAGTCCCTGGTGCTGTAAGGCAGCACTACTAACTATTGAGGCATTATGCCTCCCCGCAAAAAAAAAAGCACTCCTTAGCAGCACGGTGGCTGAGTGGTTAGACCTGCTGCCTCATAGACCCAGGTACAATTTCACCCTCGAGTAACTGTGTGGAGTTTGTATATTTTCCCCACGTCTGCGTGGGTTTCCTCTGGGTGCTCCAGTTTCCTCCCACAGTCCAAAGATGTGCAGGCTAAGGCTAAATTGTCTGTAGTGTTCAGGGATGTGTAGTTAGGTGGGTTATAGAGGATGGGTCTGGGTGGGATGCTCTGAGGGTTGGTGCGGACTTGTTGGGCTGAAGGACCTGTTTCCACACTGTAAGGATTCTATGATATCTATGATGATGATTCACCATGCTAAAGTGCCCATAGTGTCCAGGGATGTGTAGATTAGGTCGATTAGCCATGGAAAATGAAGGGTTACAGGGATAGGGTAGGGTGGGATGCTCTTCGGAGAGTCGGTGTGGACTTGTTGGGCCAAATGGTCTGTTTCTACACTGTAGGGACCCTATGAATTAACTTGTGCAC